CAGGTACCAGTTCTGTAGCCAGGACAGAGATTGCTGAAGTACAAAATGCTGCCAAAGTCCTCAACTTAAAAACCCCCCTACCAAAATACAAATGCTGTAGAAAAATCTGACCAATAACAATGGCACAAACCACTTCCTCACCCTTTCACGGAACACATAGGCCTACTTAGTAAACAATAAAATAGACACTTCAAGAACACAACCCATGCCCCAGCAGTATATTATGTTGCAATCATCATGTTTTGTATGTTAGAATTCAAGGATAGTTTAGTTTTAGTAGAGGTTTTACGGCACTCTCAACTGCATAAGGTCATATGAGCGCCAGAAGATTAGAGGTGTTACAAGAGAGTAACAAATATAAAAAAGAAGAAGGGGAGATAAGGACGATAGATGTTTGATAGGAAAGAAGAAGCAAACCACACCAGAGCACCCGTCAACCACCCACCTTCAACTACGACATCACAGAGTACAGGATACATAACAACAATCCTGCTCTAAATCTAAACCAGCTTTTATAACACACAAATGCTTTAAGAAAACAATCAGCTGATTATCTCAGGACCCAAAAGATAATAAGGCAAAACTTAGCCTGCATAATATTCTTAGTAGAGGTTTTACGGCACTTGCAACTGCATAAGGTCATATGACCGCCACAAGATTAGAGGTGTTACAAAATAGTAACAAACACAAAAAAGAAGGGGAGATAGAGACGATAGATTTTTTATAAGAAAGAAGGAGCAAACCACACCAGAGCACCCACCAAACACCCACTTGCTCTAAATCTAAACCAGCTTTTATAACACAAATGCTTTAATCTGCTGATTGTCTCAGGACCCAAAAGATAAGAAGGCAAAACGTAGCCTGTATATATTATATATATTATAAATGTGGGATAATATAATTTTGATATAATAAAGTGTATGTGGGTGCATACGCACGTGTTTGTGTGTGTACATGAAGACTCCAGTGAAAAATCCAAAATAAGTCATAATTTGGTAAAAATTCGTTCTTTTTTGTGTATTGATTACTATAAAATTCAAACCTCCTTCTGTTTTAGTTTTAGTAGAGGTTTTACGGCACTCGCAGCTGCATAAGGTCAAACTCCTTCTCTGCAAATTATCTTGGATAGCATAGTCCTGTTCAATGAAAAAAAAATTTTTACTAAGAAGAGTCGAGATACCGACGCCCAAACTTGGAATTTTTTTACCCTGTCTTTCTTAATCATGATATAACTTATCAGTTCTTTCACTGGAGTCTTCATTATATACATACATTAATATATATAATATAAAAAATGTGGCACAAATACGCACACAAATAAATGTCCATAAGTAAAGTGTATATCCCTGAGGCTATTGTGGTATACAGAACGGATGATGACAAAAAACTAAAACTAAGACTAAGACACACCATCACGACAAATATTGTGTGCAGGCAGGTATGAGGGTGCATATATTTTTTTTTCCTTCATATATTACTGTATATTAATTCAAGAATCATCTTGTTAAAGATCACGTTCATGATTGTATGTGGGTGCACATATATTTTTTTTCCTTCATATATTATTAAATGTACGTTCAAGAACCATCTAGTCAAATACTGTGTACATGCATGCATGTGGGTGCAGATGTTTTTATTTCTTCCTTCAAATATAATTGTATATGTAAATGTAAGTTCAAGAAGCATCTTGTCAAACAATGACAGAGCTCACAGACTGTAATACTAAAGGCTGACATAGCTCATAGATCATAATGCCAAAGAACGACATAGTTCACACATCATCCTGTAAAAGTTTAAGGACTGTCACATCAAAGAGGGGCAAAGATCAGGGATTATCTTGTCAAAGAATGACACAGTCTGCAGACTTTGTTTTGTTTTAGTTTAGCCCATTTACAATTACAATTCTACAGTGCATGAACGAGAAATGTACCCGATTTGGGAAAGGCCCAAAGACACTTCAGTTAGTGGCACCGCCCCGCGGGTAAAAACCACAGGTTACATTTTCTCCTCAAACAAATCTTTCTGATCACTGAACAGCAACCTAAAATGTTACAACCCCAAATATTGCAAATCTTATACGACACTGAAGCAGAAGTTTACTGGCTACATCCCAAAGAGTCATTACACAACATCAACAATCCAATTGCATACCACGACAAATCACATAATTCTTCATTAAGACACAACGCCACTACAATAAAAACCAACAAACAAAACAAATACAGCTGACTGCGGATGAGTTGACGTCATCAGGGGAGTGAAAAAAAGATCAGCTCATCTGAAGTTCAACGTAACCGTTGGGACTTTTATAGAACCAGAGGGTTCTGGGACCCGAAAAAAGATCAACTTAAGCGAAGATCAACTCAAGCGAGTTCAACACAAGCGGAGTAGACTGTAATACATACTGACCAAAACATTGTAAGTTAACAGGACCAGGTCTGATCACCCAGGTCAATGGTTCTGATCACCACAGACTTCGTCATTCGCGCAAAACACACAG